TTTCTAGCCAAGAGTACTTTTAAAAATTTTATTAATTATATTTTAAAAGGTTTTAAATGTTTTGTATTTTTTAATATAATATTTTTTAAAAATGTCACTGCAATGAATACTGGAACAGTGTCATGGGAAAATATTACTTGGCGGTGGAACATTTATTGGGATTAGTTGGGGAATGAGAATTATAATATTCAAGAAAAAGAAGTGCGATTAGGGTCAGTTTTGGACTTTTGTTTGCTTTGCAAGTGGCCTTAAGAGTCCACGGATTAGTCAACAACGAGTGGAAGGATAACGTAGAATATGCGAACTTAACTGCAACCATTAGTTAACCTAATTCATGATTTCTGTTTTGGCTAAATTTTATATATAATTCTTTTTTAAAATTTACTTATGGTCATGGTTTTATTTTTTTTGTTTTTTGGCCTGAGATGAATAATTTGTTGAATCTTCAAAACATTGACCCTGCTTTTTTTTTTCCCTGCCAAATGAACATGCATCTTTTTGAGCTTTTAAATTTATATAAATAATTTTTCATCATTAATAATAAATATGCTATTTCCCCGACAAACATGCTCCGGTACACGTTTCACATTTTTTTTTACCAGAATTACGTTTCATATTTCGTCAGTATAACATGGCATATTAAATTAAATATTATTTACATAAATTTATAAATTAAAATAAATGAAGGCCAAATTTTAAAGTTAATGGAACATTATGACTCAACTCTAAAAATTTTATACAACATTAAACTTAAATCTTTGTGTCAATTATATCAATATTCTGCAAACAGATATAAAGATTGGATTACATTTATTTGGGTGTTAATCAGATCATTGTATACTAACTTAAAACTTATTTAAGTTTGAAGTCAAATTTCAATTTGTCGATGTAAATATCATATAATAAAGATTGATCAAAAAATATCATATAATAAAATATTTGATAACGATTTTTTCTTGTGTGAAAAGGGATTTGATAACTATACACTTCTCGCAACTAATGAATAATTTAATTTATTTCTTAAACTTTGTGTGATGTTAATGTAGCATCTCCGCTTATTTCGTAAACTTTGAGAACGACACTAGGTCTCTCCCCCCCTCCCTCCAAAAAAAACTAAATAAAAATAAACACTACCTCCATCTCAAATTATAAAATACTTTAAAAAAAATTCATCTCAAAATATAAAATACTGTGAGTATATTAAAATTTTATTAAATACATTAATTTTAAATTTACTCTTTCTCTCTTTATAATTAATTTCTGTCAATTCTTTTTTTAATATATTAAATTATAGGCATTTTAAAAAGTTTATATTTTTATATAAAAAAGATAAGATTGTTAAGTGTATTGAATGAGATTTATTAATATGTAAGATTTTATCTAAAAGTATCTTATAATTTGAGACGGAGGGAGTACTTTTTCTATTTAAAAATATAAGACATTTTTTATTGAATCTCCCTCCCCAATAAAGTAATTATCTACTTTTAAACTAACCCTATCTTTTTATATTTATCCGTATTAAACATCATACAATAAATATAAAGTCATTCATTAATATAAATACTTTAAAAAAGACAATAATTCTATATCAAAAGATTAAAAATGTCTTATATTTTTTAAATTTAACTCCTTAAAAATGTCTTATATTTTTTAATAGAGGGAGTATATGTGTTACTGACTTGTTGACTATTTTTATTATTATAAGATATTCCTTCCGTTCAAAAATATAAGGCTTTTTTAAATCGAATATTACCCTCTAATAAAGTAATTATCTATTTTTTTAACTAACTATATCTTTTCATATTTACCCCTATTAAACATTTCACAATAAATATAAAGTCATTATCAATAGGGTATTTTTTTTAAAAAAAGAAATTATTATATCTCAAAAGATTAAAAATATCTTACATTTTTAAACATTCAAATCCTCAAAAAATGTCTTACATTTTTTAATGGAGAAAATATTTTTTTTTCAAAATATCATGTTAAACAATATAAGATAGTTTTGTCTTTCAAATATACTTAAAATTTTTTTTAAGAAAATAATTAATTGTAATTATTAAGATTTTTAATTAAAACACTCTATTAATTAAGAATAAACATGTAGAGGATATGAATATTAAAAAAATTAACTTATAATTAAAAATATTTTATAATGTTAAATCATAAGAAAAATTATATTGACACTTGAGATGTGGTGGTTATGCTACCATGATATTTCAACTGTGACACATGATTTGAGATTCTTTAGGATATGGATATTATGTGATGTCACGGTGATACTCCCTCCTAAGCCCCATCATTTTAAATTAAAACTAAAAATTAACATTTTCAAACTTTATCTTTATTAAACTCATTTTTTGATCACAATAAAGCAACATTATCGAATAAGAGCAGTATATAAAGAAAAAAGTATTAAATATCTCACGCACTGGCATACATATAATATGGTTACATGCATGCATGTGCATGCACACACATACATACAGAACCCATGCAGATGCAGATACCACAATATTATACGCCCACGTGGACGGGATATGCATCATTAATGAGTCAATGGTCTTGTTATCTGACTTCTTTTATAGGGAATTTAATTATGGTCCCCGCCTCTCTGGAAAGTCTAGGCTTTCTTGGCCTCGTAAAAATGATAAAATTAATAAGCAGAATACTTCAGGGTAGAAATTATTACATTTGAATATGGCGTGGAAATAATTTTTTAAAATATACAAAAATACGGAATTTTTATATGGAAAATAGTTCTATTTTCATGATTTATTATTATAATTTGTTAACGTTAATTATAATATTATTATGACACAAGTACCATGCATACACTTTTAATATATTTTTTATTGCGCACATATATTAGCAACATGGATATATATTACGTTCTAACTAACTTGCAACATTTAAAAATATACTTAATTGAATACTATAAAATCAACACAAATCAATCCAAATAGTACTGAAATTGAACCACAAAACACCACCACATCAAATGAATTAAAAAAAAAAAAACACTACTGGAAGTTAAGCTTTTATACGATCAATTGTTATATGTTCCTCGCTTGACTTAACATTTGAACCATGGTTGTCAGCTTGTTTCATATATATTCTAAAATTTTATTGTGCGTGTGATTAATTATACATAGACAGAGAGAGTCTAGAGCATATCTTCAACCTATCTCACAGGTTAACATAATTCACTACTGTGTCACAATTTTGTTTAGCAAGTATATGTGCGTACGTGCATGCATATATATATATATATATATATATTATGATCATAATTAGGAATAATTATGAAGATTTTATTGATACAAAATAGTAAGCCTGAAGCATGGGGAAGTAAAGTGAAGTTTGGCAAGGACCCTAAAAGTGAATGGTAGCATTAAAAATAGAGAATTAGCAGTGTGTGGAAGGCAAGTACACTTGACTTGCCCACCAAGTTTCAAACGGCCTCCGGGTGGTCGGTTTATCCGTTAAGGGTTTGACCCGATCCCTGATAGCCACGTGTTCCGTTGTTGATCATCATCCCCGTCTCAAGTTCCCGCGTTTCACCCCCACTCCCTCTCTCTCTCCGCCACCCATGCGACCGTTGTTGCATCTGCATCAGAATCAACCATCACGCAATTTCCATTACATCGGATTTTCTCTGTTTTTTTTTTTTTGGATCTTTAAATTCAAGCCGAGTTGAATTCCAAGAACAATATTGATTCATCGCTTTTCATGTTATGCCTAATTTGGCAATATTCCTTCTTTGTTTTTTTTTTTGCCTTTATCATCTAAATCTAGCAGGAAGATTGGTGGTTAAATACTAAAAAATTGAATTATAATATAATAACGATGAGATCTTGACAATAAAAAAAATTGCAAATGTTGATTTAGGCATATACAAACAGGAATCATAATTATAGTTCAAGAGTTACATTTGAAATTTAAATTCCTTATATATAATTGAAATTCTTAAATTTATATTTTTCTAAATTAATATTTTTAATTTATTTTTAGATAATTTTGTCAAAAACTTTATTATCATTAATTCAATCTTTTAAGGTCTAATTGACATTCTTCCAATCTATTATCCCATTCACAATTAATGCTAGAAATTTATCAAATCAATGATTTCTTTTATTCCCAACCAAAGGGTTATTATTACCTTAATTATTTTCCACCTTTTTTCTTATCTTGAAAAAACTGTTCACACTAAATACTTAATTGCCGATTAAAACTTCATCATTGCATGTTTAAATGGTACTCCCTTCGATCCACTATATTAGTCACATTCTAGAAGAATAAAATAATTTATTTTATAAAATGATTTATTTTATAAGTCATTAGATTCATAGTGATGTTTTATTTCAAATGAAATATCTAAACTATTTTTAAGAAGTAAAAGAAAGATAAACAAAAAAAATAATATTATATAGTTCATTTAGTTTTTGATGGTAATGTTTGTAATTTTATTAAATTTTATTGTATTAATATAGATGAAATTAGTAAAAATAATTTATAAATAAGATTGAAAGAGTTTTTGTAAAAGAAATTCAAGGAAAAAGACATGATCATTTCTTTTTTACTGTATTTGAACTTTTTTCTTAATTACCATTCTTGTTTTTCACCCCAAAAACAAAAAAAAAAAAAAAAAATCCTTACCGGCATGCCAAGGGATCCACCACTTTGTGAAAGCTTGATTTCCAATTTTTCAGGGCTGGCTCCACCATGTCCTGCTTTAGTAATTCCACATCATCACTTCCTCACTTCCATCCATACCGAGCGTTTAACGTTCACTACTATTTGCTGTTCCAAAAAAAAAAAAAAAAATTGCACAATATTGGTCGGCCACCATGAATGCCCTCGGAAAGAAGTTCGGAGGGGAGTGGGTCCCACTTCATTCTTCCAAAATTTTCCTTCTCAGATTCCGTATCCGACGGTTGAGATCTCACCATGAATCGCATCACGCGCGCGCCGTCTATAAATATTCGAACTTGCACCTTTTCCTCCACCACGCTCCAACCTTATGATATGTACTGTATACACCATCACCTTCACTCTTGTGCGACGCACTTCATCTCTGAATTAAGCTGCCCCTAAACACTGGATTTTCTGTTTCAGTCACCGGAAACAAATGGCCTGGATTCTGTCTTTTAAAGTACTTGTCATCTCCACTGGCGTTCTCTTCACCGCTTTGGGACTTGCAGTCTCTGTTCCAATCATTTTACAGCACGTGCCTGTCATGTGGAGCTTCTGCCTTTTGTGCTTCAAGCCTCCCTACCTTTACATCATCGTCAACGGCATCATCATTTGTATCGTCGCCTCCTCCAGATTCCATCACACCACCGCCGATGCCGATGAGCCCTCTCCTCCTCCCAATGCTCCCGTTGTTCCTGCTAATTACGAGGTGAAGTCTCTACCGTTGGTGACGATTTCAGAACCGCCGGTCGTGTATGAGCCGAGAGAGGAGCCACAAGTTATGGAAGTGAAGGCCGTCATGGTGAACGGTTCAGAAGTAGTCGATGAAGGAGACGAGAAAGGAGTCGACGACGGAATGGAGTCCACGAGGACACCGCTGAATAGGGTGGACTCGCCGGAGATTCGGTTAGATCATCTTTTATCGCCAGAGAAGCCTCTCGTTTCCGCTAGATTTGGCCACCGGAAACCACCGAAAACCAGTCCTGACGGTATCAATCTCTCTCTAGATTCTCTCTCTAATAATTCAATATATTTTTAGAAGTTGACTTCAACCATTAGACTAAAATCCTCTTGGCACCTCCAAAACTTTCTGAAAAAAATGAAGCGTCGGCAGCACGATCGAACGCTGTACAGTAAGGAAACGACGATTGTAATGTTGTCATTTTGCGAATTTGAGTCAATTTTTGAGTTCCAAAACAAAATTCAACAATCGCGTCTTGTGTCACTGTTCCCTAAAGGGCAACGAATAAACTCGTTTTGCAAATTTTTTTAAAAATAATTTCATTTAATTAATTTTTTTTCGTTTATCATGATAGGTGGAAGGTCGTTGAGGGTGGCGAAGCCAAAACGGCACGAGACGCTGGAGAACACGTGGAAGGCGATAACGGAAGGTAGGGCCATGCCGTTAAGCAGGCACATGAAGAAGAGTGACACGTGGGAACATCGGGGAAGCGTGGGCCCACGGGAGGCGACGGCTGTGAAGGGCTCGGAGAACTTCAAGGACCGCACAAATCAGCCAGCTACGTCGTCGTCAACGATGAAGCTGAGGAAAGAACTGTCGCTGACTCAGGACGAGCTGAACCGGCGCGTGGAGGCATTCATACAGAAGTTTAATGAAGAAATGAGGTTGCAAAGGCAAGAGTCTTGGAATCAATTCATGGAGACGATTAACCGTGGCAGCCATTAACAATTATATAGTTGGAAGATATTTATAGCAACAACTAAAACATATCTTATTTTTTCCTCAAAAAAAAAAAATGCATGCAAGTTTTTGGGCCAGGTTTTGAAGATTAGATGATAGATAAATACTAACGTTATAAGTCTCTTGATTTTTCATGAAACAAAAATGAAGTTGGATATATTTTATTAAAGTTTTTGTAAAAAGAAAAAATCGTACTGGACTGGACGACAGTGCATCGATGTTTAAATGTTTAAATTGGACATCTTGTAAGTTGTAATGGATAAGCATGCAGTTTTGTAGATATGATGTCTTTCATTTCTTTTCTTTTTTTAATTTTTGTTATCTTTTACACTTATTTGGAAGTTTGGTCAGTTGACTTGATGCAACGTCCAATCATCGATCAAGAAATTCTTAGTTTTTGTATATATCTGTCCTGTGATGATTGAGCAAGAAGTCTTGTTAATTATTCCACTAAGTACACTGATTATATGTAGGCTAAAGGGCGAAAAATATCTAATCTGCAATGCAATTTATATGAATTAGAAGGATACCTGTAGGGAAAAAACAATTGTGAATTAAGAAACCCATGTAGGTTCTCATGCAGTCTTTTGTTAACAATTTTGTTTACATTGTCATTACCTAATCATATGACAAGCTGATATGTGTATAATGTTTTTATTTTAAAATATTTTATTAAAATCAGGCCAAAAAATATTTTATTATAAAGTATATGATTGATGGGAAGAAGAAAAAAAGAAGTAATTAAAGATATTAAAAATTTAAGAAGATTGAAAGATCGAATATATTTTATTAAGATATTTTATAAATCAAGAATATTTTATTTTAATTGTCATAATATTTAAATTATTATTATCTTTTCATTTAATTTTAGGATTTCAAGACTTTCTTACACTTAATTCCAAGATTAAAATTGAAACTTATAAATAGCGCCTTAACTCATTTGTTTTATAAATGGATATTTGATTGAATAAGAATTATTATTATTTTATCTCTCTTTTGAGTTTTTCTCTTATCTCTATTTTCTCTACTGATCCCTTTCTCTCTTTTCTATATTCTCTTTCCCCTTCTCCTTCCCCATTTTGCATCAATTATTTTATTGATCAAATATTAAAAAGTATATCATAGTATTAAGTTAAAGCTCCTTAAGTTACTCGATACGTTCTTCGATCCTAAATTTTGGGTCCCTTGCTACTTGTCTCTTTTCCTAATTCATTTTTCCTATTATTATTGTTTGTTTTCACTTTCCTTCACTTCAAGTTATTCTATCATATTTCCTTCTTTTTTATATTATTTTATTTTTCATTTTTTGTTTTCTTCCTTTCTTGTTTTGATTTCATATTTTCCTTGCATTCCTTCACGCATTGGATTTTTTTTCCTTTGATTTAACCCAAAAAAATTGATAGCTTTTAATCATCTTTCTTATAATCTTAGGCCACATCCAACTACTCTATGCCCAAGTCAAAATTTACCTTAAGCTAGTCCAAGTTTCTATCATTTTCTCTGAGGGTTTCTAAGCCCCCGAAGGTCACTTTGAAGACTTCACTTAAGTTGTTACTTATTTAGCATATTTGATCTTGAGAGACTTTTGAGTTCTCAGAGAGTTAGACTTATTAAATAGAGTCTTCACCTTTTAGATAAGGGCAATTTAGGAACCTTTTTTCAAATAGGATTAGAGCCTCCTAATTGAAAAAAAAAATCTCACCTTCCATTGTCTACAATCACAAAAAAAAATCACCTTCAATTGTGATGTTATAGCCTTATTAATCATTGATATGATTATATTGATGATCAATATGATTATATTGATTATTATCAGTATAATTGTCATTCTCAATATAAGTATGTTGATTTATGCCATTGTGATTATGTCAATCATCATCAATGTCAAAATAAGTATGATTTAGTTCACCAATCAAACTTGAATTTCATATATTCATGTCTTGAACTTGTGAGAGATAAAATTGATGAACTCTAAAGCTCCCTTCGATCAACATTAAAAGAAGAGCATTGCCATCCAGTTGAGAAAGAGAATTCATATAACAAGGAAGAAACTTCTAATCCTATTGATAGTATGTTAAAACCAAACAAAACCTTGATATTTTGACTTTTAAAGGGGATGATACGCCCAACAAAGACCTTTTGCCTATATCAATAGTGTAACATGTTAAATTTTTTAATTAGTAATTATTAGTATTTTTAAGGATAATTTGGTTAATTTAAATAAATTATTGATTAACGAGGTTTCTAGAAAACTAATATAATTTTTGAATTCTTGGACAATCTTAGAAGAAGGCTAGGGCAATGTTCAAGCGGGCCATTGCATGGAAGGGAGTTTAAATTTTAGTGTGGCTTTTTGTGCCATGTGCCGTGGCGAGTGTTTCAATGCACCGTGGTGCATGTGCAAAATCTGCACTTATCAAATCGTAAATTAAAGTTAAAACATAGAAGAGAGAAAGAAGGAACTCGAGAGCAATGATGAAGAGAGACTCATAGCTGCTAGAGCTTGCTTCCAACATGATTTTAAAGACCTTTTGAGCTTTATATATATTGGATAAGCCTTCCTTTCTTTTCCCTCTCCTTTATTATGGGAAAATCTAGATATTTAGGGCAATGGGGGTTTTTATTTTGGTTCTCTTATGTTTAAACCAAACCTAATGGTTTATTTAAGGTCTTGAAGAATTAAATCAAACTTCTAACCCTAAGTTTATGAGTTTTATGGTGATTGAAAATTTTTATTGAGGGTTTGAACGAACCCTAAGCATAATCTGAAAGTGTTGAGACAATGTGAGAAATTGGCTAGTGATTTTGGTGTGTTAGAATGTTTAATAAGATGATTAGAGTGTTTAAAAATGGTTGATGTTGTTAGGTAAGGAATTTAGGTGTTATAGGCACTTAGAACCTAGTGAATTTGAGGTTACCGGAGTGATAATTGATAATTGTCACTTGATTGCATAGATTGAGCGTTGCTCGAGCTATATCATGGGTACAAAACATGTGGAGCTAACGTTGAGTCACGGTAACCCTTTTGTGTGACAAAGGGTTGAAGTAACTATATAATTTATTGTGTTTATTAACTATTATAACTGTGTAAAAGTAAATACAAATTGATAAAATTATTGTTTAAGAATTTTATGTATGATTTGATATTGAAAAATAATTTTAACATGAACATTGGTTTGTGAAATGAAATTTGAAAAGTCATTGATTCCAATGGATGCACAAAACACACACACATGATATGAAAGTAAATGTGATGGAAATGTGAATAAGCAGTGATAAGTGTGAAAAAGCATGATCATAGAGGGTGAGAGTTCACCTGAGATATGTGGGGATATGTAAGTGAAAAATTTATATAGTCGGACTGGCATTATAGGATATTCAGGTGGTTTAGCAACTCCTTAATACCTGTTAGGATGCGGTTAGGAGTTGCAACATCCTGATTTTTATATAATAAAGAAATTATGGAATTTAGGTTTTGAGGAAAAAATGATAATAATAGGAATTTATATTATTTGAGGTTATTTAGAAATAATATTATGGTTAGGTATTTAATTATAAATTTAAAAATTTAAATTTAAAACCACATAAGCAATATTTAGTTAAGATATAATACATAAATAATTTTTTTATGTGTGTGTTAAAAAAAAAGAGAATGTAGAAGGAACAAAAAAAGGGGGGGAGAAGGTTGTTGTTTCTAAGTCTCACATTGGTTAGATGAGGGAAGAGAAGAGGTGCCTTCATGTATAAAAAGGAGGGGGTGTGTGCATTAGGAAGCATGAGAGGCTAAGATGCAATTTAGAGGAAATTGCAACTTTTGGCCCAAAGGTTTGAATAATTAAATTCAAACTTATAGTTTTTTTTAATATAATTTTGGGACCACAATTCTATTTTTATATTATTTTTCTCTCTTCCTCTCACGTTGCTCGGTGTTTGCTCGCAATGGGGGATTATTTTTTTTTCTTCAGGTATGTTCTAACTTTCCTGCTTAGATTAGCATTTAAAAATTTATTTAATTACAAAATTAATTTTAGAGTTATTTTCTAAATAATATTAGCTTTCTAGTGATATGATTATTTTGTAGGATAGAGTAAATATTCTGATTAAGATTTTTCTATAGGATAGTTAATCTGATGATATGATGGAGTAAAAATATAGGTTAAAACTCTTAGGGATATAATAAATATTATAGAATATTTTCTTGAGGTTGAAACTCATGTTTAAGAATTTTTGAGTTAAAATCTAGATCTATATGGTTGAATTTATGTGGAATCTGAGATGTAGGGATGAACCTCTGATTATTAGATATTTATTTAAGTATGAATAGGTATTTTTTAGGTTATAGAAAGGTAATTTGAGGTTTCAGGATAATTTTAAAATTTAATTTATTTTGGACGAATTTTTAGAATATAGAAGGATGAAATTGTGATATTAGAAGTGATTTGAGGATTAAAAAAATAGTTTATTAGGGTACGAGAATTTTAGAAAAGAATTTAGGAAGTTAAATGAGGCATAAATCTTAAATTAGTGTTAATATGAATTATAGATCTAAGACTTTCTAACTATTTAAATTAGAGTTATTTATTTTAATGTAAAATTAATATATAGTATTGTGAAATAATTATGTAGATTATATTGACAAAGATAGTGGTGAAAAAGGAGTTGTGAAGGGGAACTTGTTATTCAAAACACAAGGTAACCATTATTAATGTGTTGTGATGGGTGTGTTTGTGAATGATTATGTGTTGTTTTATTGTTTGAAAAAATTATGAATTATTGAAAATAAATACTGTATATACTTGTTTGAAATTATTGCCAAGTGGGTTAAAAAATTTATTTTTGTTTATCATGATGAGATATTATTGTTCGGATATATTTCTGTTTGGATATTTGAATGATGCATGACTTGTCAGGGTATTTAATGTATGGTGTTAATGGGAATTTCTGTTCGGTTAATTATTACCACGTGGTAAGCCCTCATTAGACCCAATGAGTGGCGTGTCGCTTGGTCCAACTCACCTTTGGCCGGGTGATTTGGCGTCCGAGCATGGTGAAAGGAGAATATAAGGTGCAGTCATGCAATTAAATACTTGTTCGATTTGTTTGAAAATATTGTTCAGTTAAATGTTTTGTGTGCCTACTTAGCAATCGCATGATTAGTTACATCCGCATGCATCATTACATATTAATTTTTGGTTACTGGGACTTTTAAGTCTCATTCCCCGTGGTTAATATTTTTACAGGAGCGAGTCCGGCCGAGAAAGCACCAGAAATGTAATTATGGTGTATGAGACACCATCTTTTATGTTGCCTCTTATTTTGGATTATACAATGTATCTTGTGCCAACTTAGGACATATCTTCTTTGTGAAGCATGTAAACTTTAATCCTTTTTATTAAAAGTATTTAT